CACATGCCTAACAGCGCCTCCCAGGTGCCTGCTTCATGCTGGACAGTGCGGTCCCCTGTCCTGGGGAAGCTCCCAAGTCGGGGGAGGCACAGACACCTCGTTATCTGTCATCTGACCCACCCAAGTGGGGCAGTGGGAGGAGGACTTGGAGATCATGGGGGCCGAGGAGGGCCTGGGCAGAGGGGAGGTCCAGGGGCCCGCAGGGAGGTGCTGGTTCTCTCTGCTCTGCTCCCTCCACCTCTCCCCAGCTCCAGCTCTGCCTTGGTTCCCCTGACGAGGAGCTGCCCCAGCACCATCAGCCTGCCCTCGCTCTGGCAAAGATTGGTGCCTGGGCCTGGGGTTCAGTCCCTGCAGGCTTCCTGGAGGAAGCAGCCCCAAACCAGAGATTTGAAGTTGGAACAGCAGGGAGGGCTGTGCAGAGGGAAAGGAGATTTGGGGCCGAACCAGAAGGTCTGGGATGGGGAATCTGAGCTCAGAGACAGAGGGAGCTGGGGGCTGGGCTGGGACTGCCTTTGCTGGACAAGCCCCCTTGGGGCCTGAGTGAGTGCCACTGGCTGTTCAGGGGAGCAAGCGCGGGAGGGGAGGAGGTTCAGGCTGACAGATGGGGGGTCGTGGGGCCAGGCGTGAAATACAGACGTTATGTCCACTGTATGATCTAATGAGGCTACAAAAAAGCATCCTTAAACATCTTTCTGCAGAAGACAGAATTCTGAGCTAGAAGTTGAGAGAAAGGAGAGCTGTTTGTTGAGCACCTGCTCTGTGCACGGGCATGTTACCTTGTATAATCCTCCCCTGCGTGCTCTAGAGGGGTTTGTCCCGGTCACGCAGCTAGGGGGTGGAAGGAACAGGATTTGAACCCAGGCCTGAAGGCAAAGCCCTAGCTGTTTGTGCTGAACCAGGGTCTGGAAGGTTAGGAGGGAGGTCAGGGCCCTGCTCTTTAAGGGCAGGCAAGGTTTTCCAGGTCGTCCCCTGCCTTTCCCAGAAGCCAAATGGAGAAGCTCAGGCCAGGGCCACAAGCTGTTTTCTGCAGGTGATGCCCTGCTAACTGGGGCTACGGTTAAACCAATACATACCCCTGCCCCCAGTTAACAGCAGAAAGGAAGGAGACACTGCGTACATCAAGCCCCTTTCTCCTTCTCCTGCTGAACCCTAACTTGTGGACACTGGTTTTAATTGTCTTCCCAGGAGACCAGCCCTGCATAGACCCTGGGGCTGGAGAGCACAATCACATCCTTCTCAAAACCTATAATTACACCCGCCTCCCAGGGAACTAGCTGCGAGGAGTACCCAGCAGGGAGGAGGGCTCAGGCACAGGAGGAGGTGGAAGAGCAGAGATGGATTTCCCATCCTGAACTCAGCAGGGACACTGATGTGGAGGCGGGGGGTCTGGGTGGCTAGAGGGCCGGAGGTCCGGGCGGGGGATCAGGAAGAGGAGCTGCGGGAGCAAGGTCCAGAAGTGACAGGCTCCCACGGTGGAGGCCTCTGGGACTGGGTGCGGATGTAGTGACCTTGGGGCCTTGGTAGACTCAGCTTTCCCATCTGAGAAATGGGCATCGTAACGCTCACACCTGCTCTGTAGCATGACGGAAGTGTACGTAAGGGGCTCAGCTCTGTGCCCGGCACAAAGCAAGAACTCCACGTTTATGAGAGTTGGCTTCCTCGTCATCCGAATGAGGACGGAGTGCCTGCCATTTTCTGGTGCTGATAGGGTGTCCCCACTCACGGAGTTAGGAGAGGGAGTAGGAACCTCTGCCGGCTCGAGCCGCCCTCTTGCAGTGGAGGTGGAAGGGACCGAGCTCCCCTTCCCTAGAGGTGTGCAGGTGGGATGCAGAAGGGTGGAACCCGGCAGCTCAATTTCACCTGCTATTTCAGATTTTTTTAAGTATTTTATGTATTTATTTTTAGACAGAGGAGAAGGGAGGGAGAAAAAGAGGGAGAGGAAACATCAGTGTGTGGTTGCCTCTCATGTGCCCTCTGACTGGGGACCTGGTCTGCAAACCCAGGCATGTTCCCTGACCAGGAGTCGAACCGGTGACCCTTAGGTTTGCAGGCTGGAGCTCAACCCACTGAGCCACACCAGTCAGGGCTTAGACCAGATTCTCACGGAGGCTGATGGGCCCCTGGGTCTTGGTCACGAGGGCTGGTCAGACACAGGTTCAAAACAGCTCTCTGTGAATCTTGGGCAAGTCATGTCATCTTTCTGAACCTCATTTTCCTCATCTGTCACGGGGCGGGGGGGGAAGAGTGGATTAGAGAGTATTAGAGATGGCGTCTGCATAGTGCTGGGTACACAATAGATGCTCAATTAATGGTGTGGGTTGTTGTTTTTTTTTGGTAAACAAGGCTCTCCAGCTTTCCCTTCCTTCCGTCTTGGTTCACACCTCTCCCTTTTTCTTTGCCGCTGCTGCCCACCCTTCAGGGCCTGCCTGAGTATCACCTCCCCCTCCCTCAAGCTTCCCTTCCCCCCAGTAGAGGTGACCCATCCCCCCCCCAGTGCCTGAGGATGCACATTACTTTCTCCCTCCGCTGTCTGAGCTGGCGGGCTCTCGGCCCATGAGTTCTAATCCCCACGGCGCAAAGGAGTAAACAGGCTCTGAGAGGAGTAGAGATTCTGTCAAGGTCACGCAGCAAGTCTGTTGGCAGGAACAGGCTCCGTCCTCCATCCCTGGCTCCTTGCCCTGCGCCCTGGTGCCTTCCTGCAGACATGGCTTCTCCCTGAGTGGTGGGGCGGGGTCCCTGGGTGGTGCCTGGAATAAGCTCATGCTGCCACTTGTGAACAGGGAATGCAGATGTGCCTTCGACGGTCCAGAGCCTCTGTTTCCCCCCTCGTCCTGCAGACATACTGTCCTCTTCACCACTAAGGTTGGAGCCAATGTACCCTGAGGGGCCTCCCCTAGCCCGCCCCACCTAGACAGCTCCGCACAGGGGCAGAGGGGATCAGAGAGAGCTTGGGAGCAGGGCCCACTGTGGGAGGAGGAGCTGGTGGCCACACCCACAGCCAACTCATTGGGCTTGGAGCCAGACTTTATCTTCTGACCAGAAGCCCCTCCCCCTCCAGGCTCACCTCCTCTGGGAAGCCTCCCCTGATTGCCTCAGACTGGGTGAAATGTCTCCTCTGTGCTTGCCCAGGCCTTGCACCCAGAATAAAACAGACTTCCCCTTCCTGCCCCACAGGACCTCGTAAGGTTGGCCACTTGGATTGTTTCTTTTTAAGAAAAAAAAAGAACTTTACAACCAAAAACAGTTGGGATTCTCCGGGAAGAGTATGGTCTTGGGAGTCAGACATGCCTGGGTTCAAGTCCAGGCTGTAAGCACGGCCTTGGAAGGGTCACTCCCAGGCACTGGGCCTCGGCTGCCTCCTCTGGGCAATGGGGCCATGCGAGGGGGAGGGGAGCTCAGGCTGGCACTGTCCTCACCTGTGGGGGTGTGGCCACTCGTGTCCCTGAGTCCCGGGGGTGTGGCTGGTCTAAACTGAGGTGCGTGGGGATGGCATAAAATGCACACTGGCTTTCCAAGACTTAGTGGGGAAACAGTGTGGAATGCCTCCTGGATGGCTTTCATAATTTGAATAATATTTTGGATATTTTGGGTTAACTGAAATACATGATTAAAATTCACTTCTGTTGTACGACCTTTTTTTTTTACTTTTTAAAATGTGGGTACTAGAGACTTGAAACCTCAAGTGCCTCGAACGCGTCTCTGTCCTGTTGGACAGAGCCCCTGCGTGAGCCCCCGGGATTCCTGGAGGACAGACCAGGCGGGGGCCTGCGGGGTCGATGGCGCAGCAAGGCTGCCTGGTGGGAGGGCTGCGGAGACAGCATCCTTCCAGGACAAGATAATCTCTGGTGAGAAGGGGGAAGAATTCTAATTACAACTCAGGACAATATTTGTTTGGAGAGACACGAGACGGAACATATGGTGGGGGGGGCTCAGGGACATGTCAAGCGGGGGGTTGTCTCTCACTTCCCGGGCAGTGTAGCAGGGGCGGCGGGCGGGCTGAGGCTCCTGCTGGGTCGGGGGGCAGCCCGTCCTGGGGTTTGGTGGGGGAACTGGGGTGGGGGCACAGGAGGCAGGCGGGGCTCCCACCACACACCCTGGGGCTTTGAGGGGATGGAGAATGTCTCAGTCGTTTGGCACACAGGGAGCAACTACCTGCTAGGTGCCAGGAACTATGTAGCCACGGGAAGCTCCCGGTCCCCATTCTCATGGAGCTGTGACAGTGACCAGAGTGGCTGGGAGGTGCGGGTCGGGGGAACCTACTCTGGGTGGTCAAGGACAGCCTGCCTCTTGGGGGGCCAAGTTTGAGATGAGCTTCGAGTGACTTGCAGGCAAAGAGGAGCCAAGGGAACAGCATCCTGGGCACTGGGAACAGCCAGGGCAAGAGTGAGGTGGAAAGAGGCATATTCCCAGGACAGAGAGGAGACCTGGGGGAGGTGGGCTGGGCCCCAGCCTGGTGGGCTTTCTCCCCAGTGCAGTAGGGTCAGGGGAGGGCTCTGAGCGAGGGTGGCCCAGCCTGATTTGCTTTTACAAAGACAGCAAGGCTGCTTGCTGTGCACTGGGGCTGGGAGTAACCGGAAGGGAACCGGGACGGAGGTGACTGGCGAAACCTGGAAGATTTGATGAGCAGGACAGCTTCCTTTCTGGCCTCCTGGCCTCTTTGCTCACCCCTTACAATCCAGCCCTCCTGTGATCCACCGCTCCCCTGCGTGAGCCTTCTGTAATGCCTGTGGGCTCTGGAATAGAAGCCCAGCTCCCTCAGAGCGTCCAGGGCCCTAGGCCGACCCCTTCACCCCTGTGTCTTGCCAGCTGCTGCTGCCGCACAGCTGTCTGCATGCCCAGCCTTGCGGGGCTTCTCCAGGTGCCCCACCTGGAGCCAGGCCGTCCCCACCTGCAGGCCTGGCGGCTCCCACTCTCCCCACCCCTCCCCCACCTGCCAGCACTGTGCCCGCAAGCCTGTCATTTCCTGAGCCTCGGCCACTCCCCCCCATTTCTCCGCACAGCCCTGTTCACAGAGACGCCCCACGACATGACGGCGCGGACGGGCGAGGACGTGGAGATGGCCTGCTCCTTCCGCGGCAGCGGCTCCCCCTCCTACTCGCTGGAGATCCAGTGGTGGTACGTGCGGAGCCGCAGGGACTGGACGGACAAGCAGGCGTGGGCCTCGAACCAGGTACTGCGCCGAGAGGCGAGCGTTGGGCTGGGAGAACCCCGGCCCCCGGGGCAGGGGTGTCCCTACCTGTCATCTCCTCTGAGGAACCTGGGCTGCAGCAGGGTTGGTCTCTGCAGCACCCACCTCTACCCCCTCTTCTTCCTGAAATGGGGGCTTGTCTCCGGGGAGGGTCAGAGCGAGCCTGAGCACGTGGGGTGGGCACGACCAGAAGGTCCCTCCAAAGAGCACATTGTGTAGCCACAGGGAGCTGGTGGGGAAACTGAGGCCAGAAGCTGGCTCCAGGTTATAGGTGGGGGGGCTCCTGGCTCACCCCCTATCACCTCTCCAAGCCAGGTGGGCAGTTGTTCTGCAAAGGCCCCTGCAAACGCGGGGGCAGTGTTGCCAAGGTCAGTCGCAAGCACGCACAATTTCACACCCTTTTGCACACACGCAGGCACACGCCTGCCACCCGGTCACTGCACACACGTTGGCCTCTACACAAGGACGCATTCCTTTGGGCACACCGCAGCACCGGATGCTGTTGGTGCCCCTGCCCACGAAGCGGGGCACACACTACCCTTGCCACCAGCCCCACTGCCACCCCCACCCCCGCGACTCTGCCTGAGGGTCTTCTGTGGACGGTGGAGCCTGCTGGTCATCAGGACAGGCTGGAGGAGCGCTGTGCCGACAGCCAGCTGACAGGACCTGGAGGATCCGTCCCCAGCTCCCTCGCGCTCAGCCGGGATGAGCAAAGAGCACTCTCTGCCCTGCTCCCGAGGTGCCCAGTGGGAGTGAGCACCGTGGGCACGGGCTTGATTCCACACCCTGTGTTGGCTTCCTCCCCTTTCTTGTCTGGCTTGCTCACTCCCCTAGTGAAGGCTCCTGGGACTCCCCACTGCGTAAACTCCCCGCACTTGAGTCTTCATCCCCAGAGCTGCATCTGGGGGAACCCAAGTCAAGACACGTCCATTCTCACACTTGTTCCTATGCAAATAATATGCAAACACACATCTCCCTACCCCCTCATATGTGAACGTGTACATTTACACACCTTCCTGGGCACACGTGGCCATGGTGACACAGTGTCACAGGTTCGGGAAAGAGCCTCTGATTTTCACAAATATGCATTAAACTGTCGTGCTCCGGGAGCACTGGCTCCCCAGCTCACAGGCCGAGCAGGGGCCGCGGCAGAGTGCTGGTCTTCGTGCCTCTGGGACCAGCCGGCAGGGGGGCTCCGGCAGGGGGGCTCTGGCAGTGCCGCTGCAGACACTCGCTCCTGTGTGCGTGCGACACACCCAAAAACACAACACATTCACAGACGGACACACCAAACGGGCTCACATTTTCCCTTCACACCCACCCACCCCGTCTGGGGGCCAAATGCATGGCATGCACAGCTTTACGGCACCTCCTTTATCTTCCTTCGCTCTGACTCACTCCCACCCCCTGGGTGGGCACCGAGCTGAGGGACCCCAACCCCAGACCCCAGGGCCCCCAGGGTGTCACCTGCCATAGCTGGAATCTTAGCTGTTGCCCGAACCCCACCCCCAGGGTTGCTAACGCCTTGTCTCTGCTTTCTCTGCCCCTCCTGCTCCCCACAGCTAAAAGCATCTCAGCAGGAAGACGCAGGGAAGGACGCGACCAAAATAAGTGTGAGTTCTCATAATGACTTCTCTCAGGAGCTCTAATGGAGGACGCAGCTGTAATTTAGAAAAAAATGTTTTTTTGGTCCAGTACAGCAGGGAGCTTTGGGCAAGAAGATGGAGGAGAAGAGAAAAAGAAGGGGAGGGGGTGGGAAATGGCTCTGATCTGTTTCTTAAAAGCCAGAGAGATATTTCAAGTTCCTTGAATGACAAGCCCAGAAAAAATGACGGGGAGAGAAGACGAATTCTCTCCTGTTGGGGGCCCAGGCTGTGTGTGTCCCCGATGCTTCATGTCTGTCTCAGCAGCGTTTTTTATTTGGGGAACCCACAGGATCTAATGAGAGGGAGCCAGCTTTTTCGGCTCATCGTGACTGACAGCTACAGCGTCTCAGGGTCCCTTGTGTCCCTTGGGTCCCCTGGCCCCCGGGGACGAGGCGGGTGCAGGAACTGTGCGGAAGGGTCGCAGGGCTGGCTGGGCCTTTATGCACTGGCTCATTTTTTCCATCGCTGCACCTCTCCGGGGAAGATCGTGTGTTCGCCCATTTTACAAGTGGGGCAGCTGAGGCTTAGAGACTCGCCAGAGGTCGCAGCATGGCGGAGCTGGCTCAGACTCTTTGTCTCGGGGCCATGCTGGAGCCCAGAGAAGTGGGGGACCAGAGGAAGGGAGGGACATTTTTTTGTGGTGGAGGTGCCTGGAAGACGCAGGCATAATTGAGAAAGGAAGTGGAAAGGACTGAGTGGAGGGAACAGCCTGTGGCCGTGGGGCCAGGCTGGGATTGTGCACGGAGCCCAGGTCGGCCTGGCAGGAAGCTGGGCGTCCGCCCCCACCACACTCAGGAAACACAAGAGCAGGGCCGTGTTTGCGTGGGGCGTGGCCCCCAAGTTCGGGTTTGCTCTCCTGCTGCCGCTCCCACAACTGTAGGAGGATGTGGGCAGCTCAGGACCCCGGGGCCGAACACACGGACACACAGAGGGGCCACAGCAGGCGTCGCAGTGTCGAGTGGACGCGGGGAGGTGTGGGGGTGCTGTGCCAGGCTTTGGAAGTGACAGAGAAGAGGCAGGGAGGCCCGGGAAGAGGCTCCTGCAGCTGCGCAGGCAGGAGGTGGGCGGATGGAAGGGCATCCTCACAGCCTCCTCCGAGCTGCTTGCCCCAGGGCCTTCCAGGGTCGGGTCTGGAAATCTGAGCCGTTTCCAGTTTAGGGTGGCTGCTGCCCCCGCCCCCTCCCTGGCCCCTCACCTTCTCTGCCAAGTGCACGGCCCTGTGTGCTGTCTGTCCTGTTTCTTGCTCAAACACCTACCAGGTAAGCCCAGGCAGGTAGAGATCTCTGTGTATATTCTATGCCCTGTTCACTGCAACTCTCTCTCCTATAATTTTGTTTGGGGTTTAAGGAGCATTTCAGGCAAAGAAGAGAATAGTCTAATTGATTTAGAGGATTAGAACTCGAGGCTGCTGGGCCGCACGTGAGAGGAATGCGAAGACGCTAATTAGTGAAATAAAATAAATGGGCTGGGTGTGATTGCTCAATCACTGTGCCTCACCCCCACCCCGCCCCACCCCCAGTGCCTGCGATTCTGACTCCTGGAGTCTGGTTAGGGACCTCACAGTCATAGCCCCAGCTCCTCCTGCAGACAGTGGCATGCATGTGACCATTCTTACATACAGGGACAGTTCGTTGGCTGGCACCTGTAAGCCCACGCCCACCCCGGTTTCCTGCAGGCCAGGGTCATCTCACACTTCTCTCTGTCACCTGCAAAGCTCTGGGCCCCCTGCGCACCCTCTGAGCTCTCTCATCTTGCTTGACCCGGCTCTCTGCCCTCCCACCAGCCCTGCTGCCTCTCTGCCTTCTCACAGGCTGGTCCCTCTGTTCCTCTAGAAAGCAGATCCTCTGTTCAGCCCTCAGCTCAGGAAGCCTCCCTCGATGTGACCCGGCCGCACCCCTGCTGGCCGCATTCCCATGATCCATTCCTGTGACCACTCGGTTTGTGCCTGGCCCCCTGGAGATGGTGGGGTTGGAACTGTTACATTTCCAGAGCCTCGCACACTGTCTGGCACATAGTAGGTGCCCCCCCACAAATGATCAAGTGACTGTCACACATACATACACGCTCTCGGGCCAACGAGGGCTTAACCCAGACAGGTTTGATGCGTGGCCATGCCAACCTGACACGCATCCCATGTCCGTCCGTGTAGGTGTACAGGCGACGGGCAGGAATGCAGGACTCGGGTGGGGCCGGGGGGACAGGCGGGGGTTCCGGCCCAGCGGTCCCCCGTCTTCCAAAAACCCCAGTTTCAGTGGAACGGCTCCTGGTTTTTTACCGTTGGGCCCTGGTGTCATCTGGGAAGCGCCACAGGAGCCAAACAGTGCAGGCTCCCTACTGGGCAGCAGTGAGGTTGGGGGGTGTGGAGGAAGTCCAGCCAGCCTCCAGGGGCCAGGTGGGGGCCTCGTGACCGGCGTGCGGCGCCCTGGCAACCCTGGGGGTTCAGAGAGGCTGGGACAGTGAGGACACTCTGGGGCCGGCAGCCGGTGTCCCAGGAGTCAGTCCTGGCTCCCCCTCTGCTGCCTCCCTACACCTCCCGTCCCCACTCACTGCTGTGCAGCACCTCCGTGGAAACACGGGAAACTGTAGAGTCCGTGGCTTTGGCCTACAAATAGCAGTGGTGGCTGGAGTGGAGACTCGGCGTGAGTATGTAAATCACAGGACTGCTGTCCTCAGTGCACAGGGGGTGGAGCAGTTGGAGGCCCAGCTTCTCTGCAGGAACCTGGAGGGGGTCGGGGGTGGGGAGTGGAACCAAGGGATCCTCTGTGTTGGCGGGAGGACAGCACCTGTGATAACATACTAACAATAATAATAACAACGCAGTTGACACCGACCGAGCGCCTGCCACAGTCAGGAACCATGGTGAGCGCTTTACATGGAGCACCCAGTTTAACTTGGGGCAGGGAAGGACCCCTGGCCTTGAGAACACCCGCCTTGGTAGTCTGTATTTGCCAGAAAGTTCCACCATCGGCCTCGTTGCTGTGGCTCAGGCGGCTTCTCCTGCTTATTGGCCATGTTCAAGTTCTGGATTTTTTTCTTCTGATCTAATTGAAATTCTTTGTCTTACGACTTAGGTTAATTTCCCCTTCACCAGGTTTCCAGGCAGAGATGGTTTCAGCTTCCTAAGTTTAAGACAAGGTGAAGTTCACACACACCTGTCCTGGGTGGGGTGCTCACCTGCCTTCATCCCCATCAGTCTCTCCCTCAGTCTCATGGAAGTTCTTTGTGCTGTAGATTCAGTCAGTGCAAACTGCTTTAGTCCGAAGGAGCCAAGGGAATCCCGGGTCCCCATGCATGGGTGGCCCAGGGCTCCGGCCCCCTCATCCTAACCACCGGCCCCCTCATCCTAACCACCACCCCCCTCCAGCCAAACCCTAAAAGCCAGGTGCAGTGTAAGAGGCCTCCAGAAGCACACACTGCAGCCCCGTCAGGAATCTCCATAAAAAGCAGCTTCCATTTGTCAGATCGGCCAAGCGGCCCTGCCTGGCTGCGCCCCCTCCTGTGCTGCACAGGTGGATGCTGCGTGGGCAGAGTTGGGGGAGATCCCAAAGTCTGTGTCCTTCCCAAAGCATTGTTGGGCCAAGTGGTGGGTCAGGGTATTGTGTGATTTTATTTTCTGCTATAGACATTTCTGTGTTTTCTGGAGGTCCCTGCAGTAAGTCATGACACACAGGGCATTAAGTCCTGAAGTCTGCAAGGAAGGCCAGACTCATGTGGAGGCAAAAGTCACCCCATCCATCCAGGGAATCCCTTGAAACACCCATAGAGCAGCCAGCGTGCAGTGGAGGGGTTGAGGGCTGCGCCTCTGTGAGGGCCAAGGTCACACACACCCACACCCTCAGGGTGCTTCCAGTCAGTATGGGAGATGGACATCAACCCAGTAATCACAAGAGGAAAAAAATGATGATGCAGAGCTGCCTAGGAGTCTGAGCCAGGAACAGGACCTGACTTAGCCTGGGAGGCCTGGAGGGCTTCCTGGAGGAGGTGCTCTTTGAGGTAAGCGTCGAAGTGCAGAGGATTTGACTAGCAGTAAGGGAAGCTCTTCTGAGTGTGTGTTGGAGGAGCTCCTGGAGGCAGATGTGGCCAAGGGGAGGCAGGGATGGGACCCCAAAGTACTCCCCCTGCTGCCAGCCACTTCAGGAAGCAGTGCAAGGAAGTCTTCTAAGATTCGGGCATTTTGAAAAGATCTGGTGGCCATAGGAGAAGAGGTTGGAAGGGGCCAGAGTGGCTTAGGGGAGACCAGAGAGGTGGCCGGGGCGATGACCCAGATGAGAAGCTGGGCCTTGGTCTGGCCTGCATGGAGGGCCTGGGTATTTCCAGGCGAGATTGGTGGGACTCAGAGATGGGTTGGGCCTGGGTGTGGAAGCAGCAGCTGAAGAGATGACTCAGTGACTCCGGAGGGTCAGGCTAATGCCGGTGGTCCCGACTGGGGGAGACCCTGAGCTGGGGTCTGAACAAGCCGACGGAAGGGTAGTGTGGCCAGATGTGGCTGATGGGGGCGCTGGAGTGGTGGAGCTCAGAGCGGGGCCGGACTTGGGCCCGGCACCCTCTGGTACCTGCTCCCCACCCAGCACTGCCCCCCCCACCCCCGCCCGGGACCACCCATTCACTCTCGGCCTTGGCCTCAGCCAGGAGGCCACTTGTGGGAAAGGTCTGGCACCAGGAACAAAACTGTCGGTGCTCATCCCCCTGATGTCCCGGGGGGCCCTGCTGTGCTGGGCAAGGCCCGAGCGGGAGGAGGCTGAGCTCCGTCATGGTGTGGACTTGCCTTGTTTCTTTCAGCGTAATTAGGTGCTTAATTGCACCACCAGGGCCTGTCGATGCCTGTGCCGACGTGATTATGATTTACAGTCAGCCTGTGGCGTGGGGGTCTCCTCTCTGGTCCTCTTCAGTCACACTGGACTTCTGGGCTGCAGGATCTTTCTGCCCGATTTGTGAATGCTGAAACCCAAGAGGCCGCTTCTGTACCCATCCCTGCCAGCAGCTGGAGCAGCATGATGAGGCCCCCCCCAGAGGCTGTCTCTGAGAAGGGCTGGGTGCCCCTAGAGCAGGGAGGGTTGGGGGCCTGGGGAACGAGGTGTCTGGTCCTGGGAGGCTCCCCAGGGGTGTGTCTGAGGCCTGGTTTCTGTCACCAGCTTGGGGCCCTGGGCAAATCTCTGAGCCCCAACTTCCTGACCCACACGGTGGGCGTCCTCGGTGTGCCTGCATCACAGTTATTGTGAGGTTTAAGTGAGGTGTGTGAGGCTTTAGCGATTCACAGGGACTGCGCGCCCCATAAGCACTAGCTACCCCCACTGCTATTACCGTTACTGTCTTGGTTATTTGCCTTCCCCAGTGGTACTTAAAGGCACAGACCTCTGCTGCCGGCCTGGAGGGAGCAGGGCCTGTGGGCCCTCCCACCTTGTCCTGTTAGAGGCCAGCTGGCTGTGGTGCTGGGTTACGGGGTGAGGTCTGCATTCTCCTGTGACCGTGAGCCTGTGCGGGCAAGCACCGGGGTCCGGCTGGTTCGCAGCTACATCGCCAGCTCCTTGCTCAGAGTGGGCGCTTGATAAATGTGTGTCCAATGAATGGATGATATAGCGAGGGAGAACCAAGGCCAGGGTGCTGTGATTTCTCAGGGGCAGAGTCCCGCCTCCAGCACCCCCCACAGCGCTCACCATCCCCCTCCTCCTCTCTGGGGTGAGGGGGAGCTTTACTTCTGCAAGCCACCTGTGTTCGCTGGCAGCAGAGGGGTGGGAGGGAGCTGGGGGAAGGGGGAACCTGCCCAGGCCTTAGCATCCTGGGGGTGAGCAGAGGGGTGGGCAAGGGTGGGCCACGCTCCACGCTCCCTCCCTAGGAGAGGCTGCTCCCAGCGCTTCACATTATTACTCCATTAGCGCCTTGTAGGGTTGACAAATGAAGGATAATTAATATCCGTGAGGGAAACAGATGTTGAGGTAATTCATTCCCTGCTGCGCATTTGCAACAGCATCCCCTGCTCCCTGAGAGCCTGGCAGGGCCGCAGGGCCTGTCCCTGCCCTTGGTCAGAGGTGATGGAGTCAGCCTGCAGAAGGCCTCCAGCTGGGCCCCGCCCCACACCCGGCGGGGGCGCCTGGCCCCCACACCAGGAGGGCGGCTGGAAGCCTTTCCACCGCTTGCTGTTGGGAAGTTCTGCCTCTGTCTCTCCTCCTGCCTCCTGCTGTCCCATAAGCCCACGTTTCTTGCTTCGAGGGGGATGATGACCACCCGGAAATACTCAGGTGAAAGGAGGATGAGCCAGGCTCCCTGCTGAAGCCCACCTGCCCGCTTCCCTTCTGGAGCCCGGAGGCACTGCCACCTCCGTGGCCCTGCCAGGTCCTGGTGGACCTCCGTGGGCCTGTGGCACCGTTTGGAGGCATAGAATGCACGGAGTCAGGCCTGGGCTCAGTTCCTAGCGCTGCCACTCACTCGGCGCCCATGGGAAAGTCACTCCCCTTCCGGAGCCTCAGCTTCACCATCTCTAAAGTGGGTATAATCGTGTGTGTGTGACCTCCACTTAGAAAGCATGGCATCTGGGCGCCATTTCATTTGGAGAAAGAAGGAACTCCAGCGAGCTCATTCATTCCACAAATGTTTTTATTATTGTTGGTATTATTATTTTACTTACAGGGTGCCAGGCCCTGTGGTGGTCACTAAGATGAACACAGTAGATATTTCTGCCCTCGTGGAATTTATGTTTAGCCAGAGAGAGACAAAAATCAAGTCAACTGACAGATCAGTTCAATGGTTTTCATAGTGTGATGACTGCTATGAAGGAGATAAATGGGTTGTGATGGAAGACTTCTTGGAGGAGGTGATGTTTCAGAATGAATGGGAGTCACACAGGTGAAGAGAGATGGGGCGCAGCACCCAGGCAGAGAAACCAGTATGTGCAAAAGCCAGAAGGCCAAAGGCCTGAAGTCGAAAGAACTGGACATTTGGGAGGAGATGAGAAGGGACCGGGAAGGCCAGAGCGGACTCGTGAGATGATTGGAAGTTCCATGCGTGAGCGTCCAGCAGACTGAAACAAGCCTGCCGAGCGAACGCACCCCGTGGGGACTGTCCTCCTCCCTTCTCATCCTGGCCTCCTCACTGTAGGGTGATCAGCCGGGACTTCCCCCTCCCGGAGGCGGGGCCTGGCAAGGACAGACCAGCCGATTGTGTTCTCCCACCCGCCAAGGTCAGGGAGGCCAGCGGGGCTCACAGCTGGGGCCCCAGGGCTGGAGCCCACTCAGCTCCCGCGTGGGCGTGCTGAGCCTGGGTGGGAATAGGCGGTCAGACCGGCGGGAAGGGGGTCGCCAGCCAGCAGCGGGGAACTGATCTCCGGTGTTCCGTCTGGGCGGGGCGAGCGGGGCGGGGGGCGGTGTTGCAGGAGGCGGGGCAGCGCAGTAAGAGGGTCTAAGTACCACGAGCCAGGGGAGGTTTTTCTAACTTTTTAAATTTTGAATTTAAAAACTAGATTCACAGGAAGTTACAAACATAGAGTCCTCTGTATCCTTCATCTAGATTTCCCAGTGACATATCTTATATAACTGCCCAACTGCCTTGTCATTCTTTTAGATGAAAAAACTCACAATAGCTTTACGTTCACATCTGACTTACCCAAATGCCCATCAGCAGGGGGCCTGATAAACACCTTGCGGTGTGCTCACACGATGGAATACTACACAGCAATAAAAAAGAACAAGCGGAGACACGCAACAACATGGAGAATCTCTCTGATAGTGTGTGAAAGAAGCGGCACCTGAGAGAGTTCGAGAACAGGCTGAACTAATGTATGGAGACAGGAGTCAGAGGCAGTTAACCCCCGCCGCCGAAAGGGGGAACAGTGAGTGATGAGGGAGGGCCACAAGGGGGCGCTCTAGAGGGTCGACAATGGCCCTGCCTTTCTCTGCCCTTGGTCGCACAGGGAAACACTAGAGTAACATTTTGTCACGTGTGCCCTTTGCTGTATGTAAGTTAAATTGCTATTTTAAAATAAAATTAAGAAACCCAAAAGAATAAACACAAAGCCAAAGTACAAAGATAAATATACTTGGTTTGTTCCCCCAACAGACAGGCACACTTATTAAAGTCCTGATACATTTGTGATCAGCCTTTATTTTTTTTAAAGAAATACAACATTTCGGACTAGGCTGAGAACTCACCTTGCAGTCCACCCGAGGTCCACAGCCCTCCCCTGGCCCCGGACATGAGGCCGCCGATTTAAACGTCCGCACACACAGATCTCCCAGACCTGTGGAGAGTGTTGGTTTGTGTTTGTTTATGGAAATGGCACCGCACTTCCTGCGAGTCCCAGAGATGTAACATGCCTGGCGCTAGGTCCGTCCTTTTTGCTGCTGCGCAGTATTCCTTTGAATGAACTGACTTACGCTTATTTATCTGTTGTGTTGATGCACTTTTCATATGCTTTTACTTTGGGGCTATTTAACTCCACGTGTCCTTGTGGGAGTGTCTCTGCGCTACGCCCCCCACCCCCGCTCCCCCTTCCCCTGCCCCCCCAGCTCAGCCTGAAGTGAGCTCTCTCCCGAATGACTTGTCTCCTCACCCCGGGACAGCCAGGTCACGGTCTCTCTGTCGCCCCCAGGTGGTCAAGGTGGTGGGCAGTAACATCTCCCACAAGCTGCGCCTGTCCCGGGTGAAGCCCACAGACGAAGGCACCTACGAGTGCCGTGTCATCGATTTCAGCGATGGCAAGGCCCGGCACCACAAGGTCAAGGCCTACCTGCGGGTGCAGCCCGGGGAGAACTCGGTCCTGCATCTGCCCGAAGCCCTGCCTGTCGCGCCCGCCCCACCACCACCCAAGCCCGGCAAGGAGCTGCGGAAGCGATCCGTGGACGAGGAGGCCTGCAGCCTCTAGAACGATGCGCGCCCGGCCGCCTGCCCACCCCGCGCCCCCACGGCTGTACAGAGTGCATGAGGAGCTGCTGGACCTCTTGGGACAGGACGGCCTGGGTCCAGCCGCCTCCCCATCCCCAAGACTGCCTGTGGCCACCACCTGGGCCCTCTGCCCACCACCCCTTTGCTCAGCATGTAAGCCCCATTCAAGCCCTTCCTTTTCAGATCCCCGAGGTGACCTGGCTTGAAGGAGGTAGCCCTGGGCACCCAGGGGACAACCACCTGGACACGGGGATGGGACACCATGCCGGGGCCAGGCTGCCCCCTTCTGTCACAGGCTTCAGTGGCGCCCAGTGTTTCGCTTTGCTTGCTTGCCCCCCAATCCCGTCCCCAGCCAGGGCCTCCCAGCCTTGCTCTCCCTCCTTCCTACCACCCCCTACTTGGACCTGGGGATGTGGACCTCGAATCTGAACCCGCCCCGAATCTGGACTTGGATCTTCTGAGCAGAGCTGGGGCCTCTCCCCTGGCGGAGAGACGGGGCAAGAGCTCCCAGGAGAGCCTTGCTCTGGGGCTGTGGCCCAGGAGAAGGCGTCTCACAGGGACCACGGGAGGAAAGGGAGACATCCCACTGCCTCCTGGCGGGTCAGTCACTTCAGCCTCCTTATACCTAAGACACAGCTCCCTGTCCACCCTCCAGGGCAGAAGGGGCACCAGGAACCTCTGCCCCGTCACACAGAGGGCCTTCCCCTCAACCCCATGGCCCCATGCAGAGTTTTGCACCAGCAGGACCCCTTTGAGGGTCTTTGAGGCTCTCCCAGGAGCCCCCTCTGCCAGCTCCCGACAGCCCAGCCCCCTCTTAGGGTCCACACCAAGTCCACCCCAGGGCCTGGGGCTGTTGGGAACTAAGGGACCCCAGTACCAGTTCCCTCATAATTCCCGATCAGGGGGATGCCCGCCCCTGGTGATGTGTAAATATTTCTATTGGGCCCAACACTCCCTCAGAACTGGCTCAAACCTCTGGCCACCCCTCAGCAATGCCCTGGGGGATGTGAGAGAGGCCAAGGGCTTTGCCCCGGGGTGTGTGGGTAACCCTGTACACACGATTCAATCTGTGACTACCAGCCAACCTGAATAAAGCGGTTTAAAGAAACCTCTGGGCAGTGTCTTTTTGGAGCATTTGTGTCTGAGAGCAGTGCAGTGGGGGAGGGGAGGGTGGAAGGGGGAGGGCGTGGCCAGGCCTCAGCACCTTCTCATGCTTTCTGTCCCCAACACAGAGCAAGAGCTTCTGGGGCTCAGGGAGAGGGCGAAGGAAAACCAGCTTTGGTTCAGCCCTAGGCACTCGAATTATTCTTAGATTTCGAGGGAATCACATGTACAGAAGAGTGTCCATAAACTAGCTGACACCGTTTTGTGAATAAATAAGCTATAAAGCAAATAAAGGTGAGCCACCTCCCACCAACAGCATCCCAGAAACGAACCCCCAAGTCCTGCCCGCGTCTCTCTGACCCTGGCCCCTCTCCTGTCTTCTTGAACTTTACACATGGAATTGTCCCATCTCTGTCCTTGGTGTACCACTGCATTTATGACGTCCATCCATGTGGCCATGTGCCTGTCAGTTGTCCAGTTCTATCACCGTATAATATTCCACTGCAGAAGCAACCTATAACTTACCAACGTATTCATCCCCTTGACTGGTGATGATGTGGGTTCCCACCTGAGTGATGCTGTTACCAGCCACAGAGCCCTGAGCCTCCCAGCCCGCCTCTCTGATTCCCAGGGCGGGTTTGCGGGTCGGAGGGTTAGTCCCTGACTGCCCTCTAGGGATCTCATTTTCACCCAGGAGGTGTCACCATCCCCTTATCACGGCCGAGGACACAGGCTCAGGGAGGCCGAATAGCCTATACAAGCTCACACAGATGAACTCTGCTCTGCCGACCTGGGACCCTCCCCCGCCTCTCCCATTACGCCTGGGCTTTGCACTCTTCTGGGCTCACCCCAGTGGAGGGTCCCACCCCCAGGGTAGTGCTGAGGACCTGCCTGAGCATGTGTGGGTCTGGGGCTCTCAGATCAAGCCCTGGTAGCCAGTGTGGCCAGCTGGACCCACTGTGTGCAGAAATCACGGGCGCCCCTCCCACCACGCCTGGGGCAACTGCCTGTCCTGAGCTCCCTCAAGGGCAGACACTGGGAACTGTTGAAATAATGACTGATGCTGAGTGAGCACAAAGCAGGTCCCAGGCCTGTGCTGATGGCCACAGCATCCTCGAAGGGCGGCATATGTCCTCAGTTTCCAGATGAGGAAACCGAGGTTCAGAGGAGGGCGGGTTGGAGGATGGAGGATGGATAGATGGATGGATGGATGGATGGATGGATGGATGGATGGATGGATGAGGAACCAAATCAACCAGACAGAGGCAGGGCTCTGGACCTGTTGCAGAATCCAGGTGTCCCAGGTCTGGAGGGATGGTCGAGGACCCATGGCCCTCTCAGGCCAGTGGCCAGCCTTTACTCAACAACTACAGTCCTCACTGCCTCCAAGACAACGCTAGATCACAGAACCCCTGGAGCTCATCTTCACCTCGCTTTTACCTTGAAGGTCACCTAGTGCTGTTTCCAGTGCTGGCTTTGGAGCATACATTCGGGGTCTCCTGTGAATGTTTAGGGTACTCAAGGCTTACTGATGAGGTACCCAAACCCTTCCGTGTGAATGCCCGTGTCAAGTGGGCCCCCTCCAACCCAGGTTCCAGGAGGGTGCCTACTCCACGCCTTAAAAGAAGAAAGAAACATTTCTATAAGATGCTTGTTTTAGCCACACCACGTACAGCCCGAAAGCCAGCAGGAATGGCATTTAGAGCTGGAACTTTGGCAGATGATAGACGGTTCCAATTTCAGCTCTGCCACTTATGGGATGTGTGATGTTGGGTCCACCTCCCCTCCCTGAACCTCCAAGTTTCTTTGCAGAGTCTAACGGGGGCAGTGTGAGCTCACATCGGACACACTGGCTGCTCTTGTCCACCGGCATATGGTGGGGGGCTGGCGGACACAGGGCATGGGGACCCGCACTGCCAACGAGTTTCTCTGCACAAGAACATGCGTGAGCTGCCAGGATAACACCATGCACAGCAAGTTGTCTGAAAAGACAGCCACCAAGTGGAGAGCTGTGGTCACCTGTAAGGAGCGTGATGGAAGGAATACCCCCCATCAGGCTGAGTATTAGTCAAGGGCGACTATTCTATCACTCGATACACATAGACATCTAAAGAAAACCAACTGGGAAACAAAAGCTTATAAAATGGGGGAAATGGAAGAATATCAAGGTTGGTGGCGCTCTGGGCACGTGAGCCGTATGGCGTCCGAGTCCCGCAGATGACGAGAAGGTCCTTTCCTCGGGCGATGAGAAGTGTTCCCCTTCCGAGGAAGCCCTTGCCCATTTCCGGGGAACCCGCCCTGGAGCCAGGCCCACCCGCCCTTCCTCCACTCTACTCACCCACCCTCGTCTCCCCCCACACTCCCCCCTTAATTTAGTCTAAGCACCCACGATGGCGTTCACCTGGAGTGCACAGATGACCCCCAACCAAGGGTCAAGGCTAAAACACTGGCATTTGCAAACTGGCACAGGGGGACAATGACTTTTTTTGTCTCTGCTGACCTCCAACTGAAAGGTACTGTCTCCTTCTGTTATGAATGTGAGTGACAAAGCACAGTGGCCCGAGCAGTAGGTCGTGACTCCTCGGTGGGAGACAGCACAGCTATCTTCGCAGCCCAGGATGGTCATTCCAGGTGCCTCAGACTGTCGTTTGCACTCAGCACCGCATGCGAGACCGCAGCGGTTATTCCATCTGCCGCTAGGTGTTGTTATTTAATGCGCTAATAAGGGAGCAAGTTTATCCCTATATCACACTTTAAAAAAAAATTTTAAGTCATATTCCAATATAATCGGTTTTGTAATACTGTTGTTTTATTTTATGCAGTTAAAGACACCATGCTGGGGAGCGCCCGTAGGGTGGTCACACTTCGGAAGGGGTCATGGGACAGGATGGTGGACGGGCCCCCCTCTGAGCCAAGGCCGGGAACTCCACTATCCCTGTCTGGGACTAGCTTTGGAAGTGTCGTGTGAACCCAGGTGTCAGATTCACAGTGAGATGCCAGGGGACATCTGCTGGAAGGAGAGGGAGTCCCTCCTGAGGAAGGTTCCTTAATAGAGGAGACAAGGAAAACATACTTTCCTCCTCTGCTTCTTCGTGTCTGACACGAGACCCGGGAATTTCTTCCACCACTGGGCAGCCAAGGGGGGAACAGCTGATTCCACTGAGATGCAGAAGCGGCCGATGGGAGAACCTCTGAGAATGCAGCTGACCTGGCGAACCAGCCAGGCCTGGAACCTCTCTCCCTCTGGACTCCTGTTTTTAGCCGGCAGACCCCTTAGGATTTAGGCCGGTCGTGTCAGTTGTCATTTACTTGCAGCCAAGAGCACCTTCTCCAGTCCACCATGCTTGTCTTGCCCCGATGTTTTCCATGCCTGTCCTGCCATCAGGTGATGTGGAGAAATGAGCCAGTTCCTCCTCCCACCTGGCCTTTCTGAGGGTTTGTCAAACCCTTATTCCTCAAGACTGAGCATCTTCAGGCCCTTCAGCTGGACTCAGAAGGCACAGTATTGAGGCCTTGATCTCCCTCTTACAGGTATGTCTATCTAGGTGCGCGGTTCTCCAACTTCAGCGTGCACCAGACTCGTGCTGATGTGTGTTAACGTTAACTTGTCCAAACTCACACTCCAGCTCTCACCCCCACAGTTCAATAGGGCTGGAGTGGGTCCCCATAATCTGCATTTCTAACAAATGCCCGTAGGATGCTGATGCTGCTGGCCTTGGGGACCACAGTCTGAGAACCCCTGGGTTAGGTCCCTATGAAAGCATGGCTCCCCAAAGTGAAACCACTGCTGGAGATGGAGTTTGATTAGTGCCGGGCAGAACAGAACCATCACCTCCCCCGACGTCCATAGCATGCTCCTATTATTCCGGCCCAAATCACGAACTGCTTTTTCACACTGCTAAGCTCTGTGTTGTGAAAACTCTGGAAACCGGGATCCCCATGTGGCTGCTAATCTCTCCCCCTATTCTACAGAATGGAAAGTATCCCTCATGAATGCTCACTGTGTGCCAAGGGCTCTCATGAGTGATCTCATTTAATGCTAATGACAACCCTGGAAATGGTCAGTTATCTCTTTCTGGGGAGACTGATGCCCAGAGAAGTAAAGAAAAAACAAAACTTCCCAAGGTCACCCAGCTGGTAAATAAATGAGGGCCCGGGATTAGAGCTGGGCTGCAGAGCTAGGTAATTAACAACTCTCCTCCTGCTGAACAGCATCTATTAATCAGCTGCCCTTTGGGGCCCAGTACAAATTTACCTAATTGCACCTCATCCAGCTCATTTCTCTTTTTTGTCTACAAGGTCATCAGATGTGATTTTTGTCAAATGTCCCGGGTTTCTTGAGCCTGCAATATCTCTTTCCCCTGAAATGCAGCCCTTGCGCTGCCTGACTCTTGCCCCCAAAGGAGGGAGTCTCCTGCTGACTTGCACGGGGACCACGTGAGTTTGGTGAGCTGAAAGTGTTCACTGCGGGCACATTTTAACACAGGCTACAGTCACCAAATGTTCCGATTTAATACGCAAATGCACCCCACGTGATTTAGGGTGCACTGGGCCTTTACTGTTCTGATTGCTGTTTTGTTGATTTAGCCCACGCACTGTGGTTAATAATTTAGCAAGCAACCGTGTTTGTTTTTCTTCCTTTGCCCTCATGCCCCAACCTTTCCCACATTAAGGGACTTAGGCCTGCGTGAACGTTTAATCTGATTAATGATCAATCCTTGAAGAAGCGTTGCTGCAAAAGGAATCCATCTGAATGCTAGGGAAGGCTTAAAGTTTGCGAGTTTTCACCCTCTTGGTGTGAGTCTTGGTTTTATCATAAAGAAATGCATTGGCTCACTTGATCTCCAGCAGTGCTTCTTGTACTACGTTCTAGTTCTATTCTAGTTCGCCTGATATTAACATTGTTAGACAGATTTCCTTCGGTCAGTATTCGGCTGGGTGTCTTTTTCCATCTTATCTGCAACATGTCTGTGTTATTGTCTCTATAACACAGC